CTGGAAACGTCTGATCCTATTTTTTCTTGTTATATATATATATACATATAATACGTATATATAAAATTAAAGCTTCCGCCTTTTGTTGGGTACTTCGACAAAATTTAAGCAAAGAGGACTCTTTATACTTTTTTTAATTCTCTCTAGCTTTCAATGGACTTTGCCATCATCATCAGGAGCTGCAATTACAATGATAACAGTAGCAACAAAAGTGTAAAATGAATTTAAATTGAATCAACTTACAGTAGTATGTGAGGATGTTGCTAATTGTTGTTTTCGTATAGGATGAGGGAAACGTCCAGTAACATGGTGAGAGCTGGATACATGGTACAATGGTTAAAATTATATAAAATATGACAAGACAAGTTAAAGACAGATTAAAAATTATTTAGAAAACATTAGAGCATTACGTCGTGAAGCCACTTGATGATTGCACAAAATGGTGGTAATGGAATAATGAGTGAGATGAACCTTTGACAGAAGGCCGAAGGTTGTCAATGTCTGTGTTGAAAGATGGAACGAATTGTGGGCGTGTGCCAAAACGTTGCCAAATCACTTCAGATGATGTGATTTTCAGAATGTTATGTAAGAAATTGTTAAACCGACCAGAGGCAGTTGAATAAACTATAGTTTAATTGATGGGAATTTTAAATTAATAATTATTAATAAATCGTGAGAAGAGAATTATTAGATTTTGAGTGGAATGAAATTTGTTGGTGGAATCGGCCAAAACACAGATTATATTTATGGTTGTGAAAAGTCGAAATTTGGGGAGATATGTAATTTCTCCAATTTTTCGCAGTTTAGCAAATATGAGTAAATGACACTCAGTTGTTTAATATCTGTCCTTTTGTTGATACAGTTGTTATTCATGAAAATGTGGGACATTTATAGGAATAAACGTTTGGAAAGGTGTTTTTCTTTATCAAGAACTTTGATACTTGTGTAATTCATAGAATGCCCTGTTGTGTTAACATGAGATGCTAGAGCGCATCTTTCAGGATGAAGCCTAGCATCAGTTTTGTGTGATGTAATCCTTCCTTTAAGAGATCTGGAGGTCTGACCTATGTATATTTGGTTGCAGTTGTTGCAATTGATGGAGTAGACTGTGTTAGTTAAGCCAAGCAGCGGGACTTTGTCTTTCATTTTTGAAAAAATGCAGTTTATAGTGAGGACGGATTTGCAAGCAATTCGAAAGTTCAAAGGACTGCACAAATCCGTCCAAATCACAGTCTACTCCATCAATTGCAACAACTGCAACCAAATATACATAGGTCAGACCTCCAGATCTCTTAAAGGAAGGATTACATCACACAAAAGTGATGCTAGGCTTCATCCTGAAAGATGCGCTCTAGCATCTCATGTTAACACAACAGGGCATTCTATGAATTACACAAGTATCAAAGTTGTTGATAAAGAAAAACACCTTTCCAAACGTTTATTCCTATAAATGTCCCACATTTTCATGAATAACAACTGTATCAACAAAAAGACAGATATTAAACAACTGAGTGTCATTTATTATTATTATATTATATTATTATTACATATCTCCCCAAATTTCGACTTTTCACAACCATAAATATAATCTGTGTTTTGGCCGATTCCACCAACAAATTTCATTCCACTCAAAATCTAATAATTCTCTTCTCACGATTTATTAATAATTATTAATTTAAAATTCCCATTAATTAAAATATAGTTTATTCAACTGCCTCTGGTCGGTTTAACAATTTCTTACATAACATTCTGAAAATCACATCATCTGAAGTGTTTTGGCAACGTTTTGGCACACGCCCACAATTCGTTCCATCTTTCATCACAGACATTGACAACCTTCGGCCTTCTGTCAAAGGTTCATCTCACTCATTATTCCATGACCACCATTTTGTGCAATCATCAAGTGGCTTCACGACGTAATGCTCTAATGTTTTCTAAATAATTTTTAATCTGCCTTTAACTTGTCTTGTCATATTTTATATAATTTTAACCATTGTACCATGTATCCAGCTCTCACCATGTTACTGGACGTTTCCCTCATCCTATGCGAAAACAACAATTAGCAACATCCTCACATACTACTGTAAGTTGATTCAATTTAAATTCATTTTACACTTTTGTTGCTACTGTTATCATTGTAATTACAGCTCCTGATGATGATGGCAAAGTCCATTGAAAGCTAGAGAGAATTGAAAAAAGTATAAAGAGTCCTCTTTGCTTAAATTTTGTCGAAGTACCCAACAAAAGGCGAAAGCTTTAATTTTTCACCTATATATATATATATATATATATATATATATATATATATATATATATATGTATATATATCACGTTTTCAATACAGTTTTTTATATCTAACTTGGGAACGAAAAGTCAGAATAAAATATGGTGATACATGTTTGAGGTCTTTTCGAGATAAACAGTCTTTTTGTGAAATTCAGAATCATCCATCACTTTGAATCATCAAATCGACTTTGTAATCTTAGACAATAATTGATTCACACTTTTCGGGAAACTTTTATTTTCTGAAACGAACATCACCGACGAAGATGGAATCAAATGCTTTAGAGTTTTCCAAAAGCGCCCGAGGAAGGAGTCCTTGGAAATTAGCGTAAAACTTTTTCCAGCCTTTCTCAACGGTACATGCATGCAGAAAATCCATTAAGCGATTTTTGCTTCTGGATCTTTTTTCCATACATTCATTATACTACGCAGGTCATTCACAAGCTTGCTTTTATAAGCTTTGTAACTCATATTTGCTCATATTTAAGTCACAGATCTATAATGAATATTATGTCGTTATTAACGAAATACTTATCATTCCATAATCATGTTTATAGATAGTCACAAAAGATGAAGCAGTTTTAAATATAAGCTTTTTTTATCTCAGTATTTTATCAAGCATTCTTTATTCTTTATTCCTTGCGACATGTCTTCATGTGTTAAACAAATAATTATACTAAGTGACATATAAATCCGAACACCCAGTTTAAATGGTTTTATTTTAATAAAAGTTGGTGAATGTATTTATCTTACTGTAAATAACAAGTGAAAAATGTTCAGCCTCTAAAAATGAATATTTCAGCCACAGTAAAGAATCAACGTTGGCGGATTTTGGTTCTTGACATCCTTTACGATCGGTTACGATGCCTAGAGTACGGAGACCTGTACGATTTCGTCAACTTAGTGAGTTTGATAGGGGCCGTATAGTGGGACTTCGGGAAGCTGGACTTTCTTTTCTGGCAATTGCAGTTAGAGTGCAAAGAAGTGTAGACACTGTGGTTAGGTGTTGTCAGGCATGGCTTCGAGAAGGCCGTACGCAAAGAGCAAGGGGCACTGGACGCCGCCGTAGAACAACAGACCGTGAAGATCGCCGCCTAAGATTATTGACCCTAAGGAACCGTTTCTCCACTACCAGGTCCATTGCAAATGAATTGTCTTGCAGAACACGGAACACCTATTGGCATGCGAAGTGTTTACCGACGAATGAGAAGTTTTGGCTTGTTTTCATACCGACCAGAATGGGTCCTCCCTTTAACTCGAGAACACCGACGTAATCGCCTTGAGTGGTGCAGACAACGGTCACTCTGGGATCAGGAATGGAACAGTATTGTCTTTAGTGACGAGTCTCGATTTTGTTTAGGCATGCACGATGGTCGTGCCAGGGTTAGAAGGCGACGTGGTGAAAGGAGGAATCCACAGTTTTCTGTTGAAAGACATGTTCATCACACTGTTGGAGTTATGGATTGGGGTGCTATAGCTTATGGTTCCGGTCACCTTTAATCTTCATCAGAGGTAACATCCACGAAGTTCTAGAACCCCATCTTTTACCCTATCTTGACACCCTGGTAGATCCAACTTTCCAACAAGATAATGCCCGACCACATGTTGCAAGAGACACAATAGACTTCTTTCAACATAATGATGTCACATTGTTACCATGGCCACCAAGATCTCCCGACTTATCCCCAATTGAGCACGTGTGGGATATGATGGGTAGGAGATTGCTCAATTTGCAACGTCCTCCTCAGACTCTAGAAGCACTTCGAGAGGAGCTGGTGGTTTCCTGGAATGAGATACCACAGGACGACATTGACCACCTGATCAGAAGCATGCCTAGGCGCGTTGGAGAATGCGTAGCACATCAGGGTGCATCCACACATTATTAAAGGTCAAAGGGCTTTAAAGCAGTGCAATCATTTTGAAATTTTTATCATTTACTTATTATGCTTCATTAAGTACTTATACAAAATTTTATTAAAATAAAACTATTTAAACTGGGTGTTCGGATTTATATGTCATTAGTATATTTACAAAAATCTGTCAGGTGATCAGTCGTAATTCCAAAGAAACTTATCTTCTACAACACATTGAGATTTTCTTTCCATGATACTCGTCCCTTAAGTGGATGCTAAGAGAGATTGGAGTGGAATACCTTAACTTATTATACATGGTATAACTGACTGATTTAAATTGCTCCCAATTTTTCAGTGGGTGGCGCCACAGTGGTTGCTTAAAGCACATGTGTCCAATTCATCATGATCACACAACGCGTCTGTATTGTTTTTACTTAAATGACGAGTCAGTTGGTGAGGAATTTTGAACAAACGTGTGAAGTTACAGACCGTTCGTACTCCGGAAAATATCAAGAGAGTTCGTAAAAGTGTAGTGGAGCGCCCTGAGACGTCTACCAGACATCGTTCGCACGAACTGGGTATTCGTCGCACGTCATTATGCAGTATTTTAAAAAAGACTTGCATTTGCGGCCATACAAAATTCAGTTAACCCAAGAACTACAACTTAGTGACCATGACAGTCGATTTTACATACATCATTTCCAAGTTTCAATAAACGATTAAGATGAAAGGAATTGACGTATTTTATTTCATTTCGCAAATATTTAAGGTACAAACCAGTCAGTAACATATTAGCCATGATAGCATTATCAAATGAATGAGAAGACAGCTAGTGAATGACCTTTTTGACCGAATTTTGTACAGTGTGCAGAAATAATCTTTGAAGTGTATACGAAACGAGCGATTTTTTACAATCCTATAGACTTTCTAACAAACAGTGGGACAGTTCCAGTGAAGTATGGCTCGGAAGAAGGGGTACAATTACTTTTATGTGGCCGTCATTTTTATATTTACTTTTCTTAGTTTTGGTGAGTAGTTTGCAGATATAGTCCTCTTAGATTATAGACATTTGTAGACATTATAGTAATCTTAATTTATAGATGCATGTTAGACTCTTTTATAAGCTCTGAGGGATATAAAAAACCTTCATTCGTATTGCGTATTGTTGTGAAAGTTTGAATTTAAGTTTACTCAAGAGTGAGGTTAAGATTCAGTACTGACGTTCGATCCGCGCAGCCTACTATGTTTCTATATGCAAAACTTAAAAGACATCCCTCGTATGGCAAGGTGAACGTTCGGAAAAAGCACGTCAAAGTTTGTGAGGATATCAACTTTTCAAAGCTCCCCCAAAACTTTCCAAGTAATTATTCGACTAGTATCATATAGACCAAAAGTCTAAACATAAATCCCTGACTCCACGATGTAGTGATAGAAAAAAATATTATCTTGTAAGTTTTGTCAGTAGAAGTTTCTTACTTTTTTCCTTCGAAATAGTATATGTACAGGGTCCGGTACAAAGGACGGATATTTTCAAAATGTGATTCTTCAAAAACCGTCCGATCTGGAGCCTGTAGTATGAGAAATTTTCATGTGACTAGTCCTGCCGAATTCATATAAAAATAAAAAATATTAACCTTTAAATTAAGTTTCATCCACGAGAACAATGAATATAGGAATAAATCCAAATGTATGTGCATTTTTATATAAACCAAAAAAGAGATGATCACAATACGAGTATTATTGTCAATTTTCCGATAGAATTAATGTAAAGTCATTCGATATGTATCTACCTGTCGGCAATATTTGATAGGAAAATTTTTATTGGGATACACGTTGTTAATGATACGGTTTCATCATGCTGGTCGAAAACGTGTTTTTAAATATACATAGATGTTTGATGAATGCACCGGTTCGATAACTGTTCGATATCAGCGTATCTTCTATGCCTATTGTCCATCTGATACTAAATCGGTTCTTTCCTGCGCCCTTCGATATTGCACTACGATTAGTACTTGGAGTCTACATATATTCCGCCTTGTTATTACGAATTATGTATAGCATAGATGATACGTATGCAACAAACAATGTAGATATATGTATGTATTCCATTATATCTGGGATATATTGTTCGATATCCGGTATTTGTTTTCGCATAAAGGTATATCGATAGCTACTGGAGATGAAAGGGGATGATGGAGGGATCATTGCCAATCAGAAAAACCATGCTCTTATTCGATTGAGTTATCGTCATTGTGGCTAATTTGGGACGTTTGAGACTATATTTTTTTGGAACATTCCTTGTTGCTTCTCGATCAGCTTTACAAGATACGTTCTGAAATAAATAACGTGCCTTTAAAAAAGCTATCACTTTGTTCATCTAGTTAACAAGTATAGAGATCGGCTAAACAGCATCTGTATGGTGCGTAATTCTGTCTGGTAAAATATTCAGCACCCGATCTTCCAAAATGGCGGGCTGGTGGGTTGGCTTGGCTGGGAGTTTTTCTAGACGAAACACCTCAGAGACTTATCACCAAAACTCCATACTATTTTTCCTTTGAATCGGCTTATCTAAATCTGCCATATCATTTGAGGTGCCGTGTGTAAGAGATGATATTAGAAATATAACGATAAGCGCGTAAAAACAACAATTCCACCTTACAAGCGTTCGAAGTTCTACCCTGTACCTTTTCACTTTTATTACGAGAGTAGTACATACACAACTTAACAAGGGCTTCAATGTCAGGATAATTTTAAAGCCACTTACTTGGTGACGTTAACGACAGGTTAGTTGTTCTTCCTTGGCAAGAGCTAAGGTCGCTAGAACTGGGTTGTCGGGGCCAAGCCTATTTTTTAGAAAAACCTTTTGAGTACCTTCCATATTCTACCGACTCATGACATGCACAACTCTACTGTCTACTCATTATTAGCTGTCTCAATACTGATCACAAAACAATATAATAACGGCCATGATATTTCTCAAGTATATTATTATAAATTACAACACATTGCATGGGGGAACGGTAGCATCCTACCGCATGGAAGTCACACCCATGTCCATAACGAGGGGAACGGTAGCTTCCTACCGCATGGAAGTCACGCCCGTGTCCATGACCAGGGGAACGGTAGCTTCCTACCGCATGGAAGTCACGCCTGATATGGAAATACCTTGCACGGGGGAACGGTAGCTTCCTACCGCATGAAAGTCACGCCCGTGTCCATACTCGGGGGAATGGTAGCTTCCTACCGCATGGAAGTCACGCCCGTGTCCATGATCAGAGGAACGGTAGCTTCCTACCGCATGGAAGTCACGCCTGATATGGAAATACCTTGCACGGGGGAACGGTAGCTTCCTACCGCATGAAAGTCACGCCCGTGTCCATACTCGGGGGAATGGTAGCTTCCTACCGCATGGAAGTAACGCCTGATATGGAAATACCTTGCACTGGGGAACGGTAGCTTCCTACCTCATGGCAGTCACGCCTGATATGGAAATACCTTGCACGGGAGAACGGTAGCTTCCTACCGCATAGAAGTCACGCCCGTGTCCATACTCGGGGGAACGGTAGCTTCCTACCGCATGGAAGTCACGTCCGTGTCCATGATCAGGGGAACGGTAGCATCCTACCGCATGGAAGTCACACCCATGTCCATAACAAGGGGAACGGTAGCTTCCTACCGCATGGAAGTCACGCCCGTGTCCATGATCAGGGGAACGGTAGCTTCCTACCGCATGGAAGTCACGCCCGTATCCATGATCAGGGGAACGGTAGCTTCCCACCGCATGGAAGCCACGCCCGTATCCATGATCAGGGGAACGGTAGCTTCCCACCGCATGGAAGCCACGCCTGATATGGAAATACCTTGCACTTTGGAACGGTAGCTTCCTACCGCATGGTAGTCACGCCCGTGTCCATACTCGGGGGAATGGTAGCATCCTTCCGCATGGAAGTCACACCCATGTCCATAACGAGGGGAACGGTAGCTTCCTACCGCATGGAAGTCACGTCCGTGTCCATGATCAGGGGAACGGTAGCATCCTACCGCATGGAAGTCACACCCATGTCCATAACAAGGGGAACGGTAGCTTCCTACCGCATGGAAGTCACGCCCGTGTCCATGATCAGGGGAACGGTAGCTTCCTACCGCATGGAAGTCACGCCCGTATCCATGATCAGGGGAACGGTAGCTTCCCACCGCATGGAAGCCACGCCTGATATGGAAATACCTTGCACTTTGGAACGGTAGCTTCCTACCGCATGGTAGTCACGCCCGTGTCCATACTCGGGGGAACGGTAGCATCCTTCCGCATGGAAGTCACACCCATGTCCATAACGAGGGGAACGGTAGCTTCCTACCGCATGGAAGTCACGCCCGTGTCCATGATCAGGGGAACGGTAGCTTCCTACTGCATGGAAGTCACGCCTGATATGGAAATACCTTGCACGGGGGAACGGTAGCTTCCTACCGCATGGAAGTCACGCCCGTGTCCATACTCGGGGGAACGGTAGCTTCCTACCGCATTGAAGTCACGCCCGATATGGATACCTTTATAATCGGCGCTTAGACAGTAATTCTCCCGACGGCAACCCGGCTCTGTAGGTCTCATAACAGCCTCCAGGGTATGGAGACGTCACATCTCTGTAGATGTTTGACGCCAAGTGTGAAGCGATACTTTTACACACTTTTACACATGCAGAAAAGTGTCTGAAATATTGTTTATGCTTACACGTGTTAAAAAATTACACCTTTGATATGGTGATCAACACTGGGACACCATGTACAACCGTTTCTGTATAGAGCAGCTGCATAGGCACAACTGGGAAAAGCCTCCTCAAGCAAATTACTCCACAATCTCGACGCGCAAGACATTGACGGATCCTGTGCTGCATTTCTAGGAGATGAAGTCAGGGATGCAGTTTGAAACTGATAATAATAACAATAAATGGCCTTTATTCGTCACGGCATAGCTTACGCTATTTCTCAACCCGACCTAAAGACAAGATAATTGATGAGCTACTATAAAGAGAAAAAAATAAGTATAAAATTTGAGACGATACACTTCTCAGAAAGAGAAAACAATGCTTCTTTATCACAAAACTTAACGATTCTATCTTGGTCAGATAAATCGATAAGCAAAAGATTATTGAATGCTATTGAATTCTAATAAACATACGCAGGTGTCTACCTTTATTTGTCACTCATTGTTCAGTATAATATTAATGCGATCTTGATTTAATTCACGATTCTTTTTGGACCCTAACAGAATGCAGAAAGATTTGCCAGCATTCAATTTTAGATTATGTGCAGAAATAGACCGCGACCGCGATTTATTTGCTACTACTACTCAAGGTATCAATTTTTCTGCTATATCCGTTAAAGGTTGACACTGCATTGCATTTTGTATGTACTTAAAACAGTACTTAAGACGTAATAAGAGCTCAGAAAATATGTCACGTTCGCTGCTCTTGACACGTATGATATATATTTCTTTATATATCTTATGAGTCTGAGTACAGCAGTAATATGGGCAATTTGGAACGGGTCCATCAATCAAAAACAATAAGATATTCCATACATCTGGAACTCCGGGACGTAGCTCTGAAACACGAGAAGAGTGTATCATTGAATTTCTTATTGAAAACCAATTGCGGCCTTGTTAGGTACAATAGTTCACAAGAAAAAGGGCAGTTGACAACACCCTAGGGGCAAAGGTTAGAGATTGGCGAGATTATTAGAAACATTATACAGGGTGACTTTGAAGTTGAGTCATTAATTTTCAGATAATGATTGTAGAAGGAAGATAAAACAAAATATGTGTGTAAAAATAAAAAAAATTAAAAAAAAATGTTTACCTTGTTTTATAAAGTATCCTCCCGACAAGTATTTCAGTGCGGACCTGTATTTGATCGTGAGGTTCCCTGTGAGGTCTTAAGTCACCTGATTCACGAGCCCGTTGTTCTACATTAACAAAGGCACGAGGGGTTGGTTGCACTCGATTGGGAAACCGATCCGCATAAACATGTGCCAT